GTTGCCATTTAAATAACCTGCATAAAACAACAGGATTCCTGGAGCATTTAAAACTAGGTCACTGGTTGGCCCAATATTAAAGGAGAGGATGCTAAAACATTAAAAGCATATGGACTCTTCCTTCAGGAATGTTGCAATGCTATGGAGGAATTGTAGCACTTGGAAGAGTTAAGCATGCTAGCTGACATGAAAATTCAGATTCAGAAGTTTCCATTAAAACTGAGAGAAAAATGGAGAATAAACACAAACAAGATTCTTGAGAGGACTGACCAAAGAGCATGTCTTCTAGATATTGGTAACTTTATTGAACATCAGATTAGGATTATACCAGACCCAGTTTTTGGAGATATACAGGATTTACAGCTGCAAAGGGAATCATAAAACCTATTAAATCTCAAATAAAATCGCAGTTTAAAAGAAACAGCTTTGTCACTCATGTTTCTCTTAAGAATGACTGTAAAATTGCTTCTTTCAAACATGAAAAGTCTCCTGTCAAATCAAGCTTTTTCCTGTCTGTATTGTGTACAGGATGGTCATATATTGGAACAATGTCGATAGCTAGGAAAAAGGTCACATGGGGAAAAATGAGACTTTATAAAGTATAACTGACTGTTTGACTGCACAGTACAGAGTCCTGCCTATTGAGTGTAGTACCAGCAAATGTGACAGAAGAGACTTCTCATTAAAAGGTTTCTTGAAACATCTTCAAAAAACTAAAGAAGTCGATTCACTTTTCTCTTTAAGCTCCTTCGATCAGAATAGAATGTTATCATTTAGAATGGAATATCATGAAGAATCATATTTTATCATGCAGAATGTAACATTATCGTCTAAAATAGAATGTCAAAATATGCAAGAAAATTTCAACTTGTCCAATGAAACATACTCAAGTATGGAATGTCACAGTGCCGAATGAAATGTCATCATATACAATGGAATGTCATTGTATAAGATGACATTTTATGATGCAGAATGGAATTTCATTGTCTAGCATGGTAAATAATCATATGGAATAGAACATCATCATGTAGAACACAATGTCATAGTGAACAATTGAACCAAATGGCAAAACAAACAAACCCACCAACTTTACGCCCTGAACCACTGAACAAGTGAAACCTATAAATGAAATTGATGATTTATTTTAGTGAAGAACACAGTAAATGGAGCTGTGATAACTGGGATATGTATTGAGAACACCTGATTGGAGGCAGGCATATGTCTGTGATATGTAAAGGCGATCAATCAGCATGTGTTTTTCAGTAGTTGCAGGAGCAATAAGTTGCGTACAGTGGGGCAAAAAAGTATTTAGTCAGCCACCGATTGTGCAAGTTCCCCCACTAAAATGATGACAGAGGTCAGTAATTTGCACCAGAGGTACACTTCAACTGTGAGAGACAGAATGTGAAAAAAAAAATCCATGAATCCACATGGTAGGATTTGTAAAGAATTTATTCGTAAATTAGGGTGGAAAATAAGTATTTGGTCACCTCAAACAAGGAAAATCTCTGGCTCTCACAGACCTGTAACGTCTTCTGTAAGAAGCTTTTCTGTCCCCCACTCGTTACCTGTATGAATGGCACCTGTTTGAACTCATCATCTGTATAAAAGACACCTGTCCACAGCCTCAAACAGTCAGACTCCAAACTCCGCCATGGCCAAGACCAAAGAGCTTTCGAAGGACACCAGGAAAAGTATTGTAGACCTGCACCAGACTGGGAAGAGTGAATCTACAATAGGCAAGCAGCTTGGTGTGAAAAAATCAACTGTGGGAGCAATCATCAGAAAATGGAAGACATACAAGACCACTGATAATCTCCCTCGATCTGGGGCTCCACCAAGATCTCATCCCGTGGGGTCAAAATGATCATGAGAACGGTGAGCAAAGATCCCAGAACCACACGGGGGGACCTGGTGAATGACCTGCAGAGAGCTGGGACCAAAGTAACAAAGGTCACCATCAGTAACACACTACAACGGCAGGGAATCAAATCCCGCAGTGCCAGACGTGTTCCGCTGCTGAAGCCAGTGCATGTCCAGGCCCGTCTGAAGTTTGCCAGAGAGCACATGGATGATACAGCAGAGGATTGGGAGAATGTCATGTGGTCAGATGAAACCAAAGTAGAACTTTTTGGTATAAACTCAACTCGTCGTGTTTGGAGGAAGAAGAATACTGAGTTGCATCCCAAGAACACCATACCTACTGTGAAGCATGGGGGTGGAAACATCATGCTATGGGGCTGTTTTTCTGCCAAGGGGACAGGACGACTGATCCGTGTTAAGGACAGAATGAATGGGGCCATGTATCGTGAGATTTTGAGCCAAAACCTCCTTCCATCAGTGAGAACTTTGAAGATGAAACGAGGCTGGGTCTTCCAACATGACAATGATCCAAAACACACCGCCCGGGCAACAAAGGAGTGGCTCCGTAAGAAGCATTTGAAAGTCCTGGAGTGGCCTAGCCAGTCTCCAGACCTCAACCCCATAGAAAATCTGTGGCGGGAGTTGAAAGTCCTGTTGCTCGGCGACAGCCCCAAAACATCACTGCTCTCGAGAAGATCTGCATGGAGGAATGGGCCAAAATACCAGCTACTGTGTGTGCAAACCTGGTAAAGACCTATAGTAAACGTTTGACCTCTGTTATTGCCAACAAAGGTTATGTTACAAAGTATTGAGTTGTATTTTTGTTATTGACCAAATACTTATTTTCCACCCTGATTTACGAATAAATTCTTTACAAATCCTACCATGTGGATTCATGGATTTTTTTTCACATTCTGTCTCTCACAGTTGAAGTGTACCTCTGGTGCAAATTACTGACCTCTGTCATCATTTTAGGTGGGGGAACTTGCACAATCGGTGGCTGACTAAATACTTTTTTGCCCCACTGTATTACATGAAGTTTGCAACTCAAAAACAGAGAAACTGATTTATAATTGTTTACTGATATTTACTTGTGTTGATTTCGTCTTATTTGTTGTAGATTTTGTATGGTTGCTCGACCATCCGTCTAGTCATCCGTGGCATGTGTGGTGTTACATGTTTGGAAAAAGATCTGTTACATCTTAAAAATTATTTGAATAATTTTGTAATTTCAATGGGAAAAAAGTTTTGCACAATGTTCTTAAAATGGCATTCTGTACTGTTCAGTCATTTTTGACAACAGAAAAGAATATATTGCAATATATTGTGAGTCATCTCTTTCCTTCTCATTTTCCTGTTTAGAGGCAAAGTCACCCTCTACAATGGAGGCAAAAGAAAATAGATGTATTTTCTGTTCATGTTCTACTTTACTGATTCAAGCTGGGAACCTTTATTAGAATTAAAATTTAGACAAAGTGTGTATTCGATCTACTAATATATTTTATCACAACATGAATATAGCCTGAGGTTCAGTTAGCTTTGCATAAAATGGTTTGTAGAAATGTTAGAAATCAAGGAACTACTTTTCTTTAAGTACATTTCAGGAGTATTTTTAACACGAGTATCTGTACACAGCAAATCCAGCATGTCCAAATTAACACTGTCGGATTTGATTTCAACACTATTAAAGTGTCTATATGGGTCCACACCAGAGAGTGTTAATTTAACTCTTTTTGGAGAGTTGGTACGTTAACTCTGATTTAGTGTTAAACACCAAATCTGTCTGGAGTTGATAATTTAACACTTGGTGTTAAGAGTTTATATATTAACTCTCAAAGAGTATTTTAGTTTAACTACGTAAGAGTTATCTTCTAATTCATTCTAAAAAGCGGGAATTTTACTGTTCTGAACTTCTAGAAATTTCTTTTGGAAATAAACATTTACTAAAAAGATGCAATGGTTTTTGAAAAACATTTATTCTGAACTGTGCACCACAATTTCAAAACATTTTCTGAAAGATGTAACAGTATACATGTTCTCACTTTCATTAGAATTTTGTTTATCAAAAGGTCTGACATGGTAAATGCAAATAACAGCATTCTCATCACTTATTTCTTCAATACAATATGCATGTCCTTCATTCATCCCTTTGTGGAACTTCAACGCACTTCTGCTCTCCCCCATATTCCATCTTCACAAGCATATCCTGTGCGGAGATTGAATAAAAATTAGTTGACACTAATTAATGGCACAAATAATCCAGTAAACAATTGCAGCACAGTAAAAAAAAAAAAAGGAATCCTCTTTGAGCCATTACTTGTGTAAAGTATTTTCCCAAAAGACAAGGACACAGGCAACAGGTAATACTGAACTAAATGTAAAACCTCAACCTTTTTCATTTTTACCTAAACCGTGTGCACAAAACTCTGGAGGGATCTATGCTAACGTAGAATCCAGTCAGGACGTCTGCTACTGCTGTTTGCTCGTTTTTTTTTTTTATGGGCGATCGTTTTCAGGCTTCAAGTAGCACCATTATACCAACATTTCACATTCTAGACATTGTTTTAGGTGTATTTGACCAAAACGTTTGACTGAAAATTCACATGCAAGCTTTTTTTCAAGGCTGTGGTATTTGCCCGCAAACAATACCTTTCAGCTAGCTAAAACAGAATATTATGCTATCAGCGAGCAACATGGCTAATGCCTTTCACACAGCTTTGTCTCAACTCCAAAGAGCCACAGAAGTAAAAGCTAATAACAATTGAAACAATCTTTGAAAAAATGACTTACCAAGCATGGCAAACAACTCAAATATGTAGAGCAAAATGTTCTGAAACGGCTTCACTTCAGCTTCGATTGGAGCCGTGCTGGGGGCGGAGTCTGTGAATTTACTCTGTTGGTGTCATAGCCCCTCTAGGAGTTCAGAGTTAAGAGGTCAAGAGTTAATGTTTCCATTGTAACACCTCCAGATTTGACAGAGAAACACTCATTTTTAACACTCGATTTTAACTACTATCATTTTACACCTCAGAGTTACATTAAAAGAATGTGACTCTGCTTAGAGTAAAATTAACTCTACTTTTGCAAGGAGACTATTAACACCAAAAAATTTAACACTTTTGAATTTGCTGTGTACTTGCACTAAAGTACACAGTGTCTGTAATTTGCCACCTCTGAGAGCGACACAGAGAGAAGCAGATGGAAACAGTCAGATATTCAGAAATACCTTTCCAGAAAGAAAATGGGTGCAGGATGGTGCTTCACCCAATTTCCAGATGTGTTACAATAGTAGAGGTGTCCTGGCCATCTGTTAACACGTGGGAATTTCTTATACTGGGTTTCAACATTTCAAATCAGGAGTTAAATGGAATTGTCATCAGATAGATGTGTGAAACCATTATAGCTCCTGTTAGCTCAAAGCTATAATTTTTTTTTCTTTTTTTAACGAGATCAGCTAAAGACACAATTTACAAAGTGATGATACTTGTGCAAAGTGGGGCTATTATTGGAAAGAAAAGAAGTTTGAAAAGTGAAATTAAACTACAGTTATAAAACAGAAAATGAGGGGGAATACCTTTTTAGCTGGAGAATTTGAAGGCGTGTGGAAAGCATCAGTTACCCAGAACGGTTTTGCTGGTGGAGGTGTCTGAAATCTGATAACATGTGATCTTAATTAAAATGATAAAATCTAGTAACACATTTGAAACAGTGAAACATGTTTAAAGAAAACAAGTAACAGTAGTGGTTACTGAACTTACAAAAGAATCCCCGCTGTTTGCACAATGGTAAAATGCCAGCAGCAAGCAACTCCAGATGTTCACAGCTCACACTTAACACCTCAAATTGATCAAAATCTCACAAACCTATAATATTGCATTATGAGTAGATATGGGGCCTTTGAATGAAGAGTGAAAATGAAAAAAAGCCAATTAAGCATTAGGAAGGGGCCCAAGACTATGATCAAATACTTAGCTTAACTTTCTGTATAGAATAAGACTGCAGATAGAATAAATAGTGCATTTCTATCACACAGATTTGTTTAGAAGTTAACTAAACTTGTAAACATGTTGTACCATTACTACTCACAAGCAACAAGTCTGCAAAGCAGCAACGCAGCCAGCTTCCTGTTTCCTCCACCAACAGGAACATAGAAAATCTCCACCAAAATATTAGCTTGTGAGTAGTCCCACTATAACCAGCAGAGGGTGCTGAAGGGAACAAAGCTATGCATGTCATATTTCACTGATATGCCAAGAACAAACTAGCACTGTATCTTTCCCTGTCAGGTTTTCCAAAGACAAATTATGCAGGTATACTCTGTAACGATGACCTTCCCTCATTTGACGATGACTAATTGACTTCTATCTTTCAGCAGAATGACATATCCTAGCATCTTCCGAGACAGTCTTTTACTTTCTGATTTAAAGGTTTTAAATGTAAAATTTACTTATTTATTATTTTTGTATTAAATCTAGATTAATGATCTATGTGAACTCGTGGAGACTATGGAGGTGAGAATGAGAGTGAGTGAGCCATGATCTTGGTATTTACTTGCATCGTACAATACTAAACTTAACTCTATCGTCTTCCTTTGTGTAGTACATTGTGACAAGGACCACATAGGCAGCCATTCAGGACGAGAGTACCTTTATTCACCTACACAGCAATAACAATACTAACGATGTGATGTTACAGTCCGGAGCTAGGACCTACCTCCTACGATCCCAGTGGCCCATTAAAGAGAGAGGGCATGATTGGGACATTTCTCTTCTGCTCATTCACATGAAAGGGATGGTGCTAGCCAAATCCAAACAATTTAAACTGGGTGTTTCATGGATCATACTTTTCTTCTACAGATAATGACTCCTATCATGACAAAACTGTTATCAAATGACGATTAACACAGAAAAGCCTGGAGTTCAGTTTTCTGGATAAGAAACTAAACAGGATAAGAGTGCAGCTGTTGTTAATTTCATGAACATCAAAGCAGCTGAAACTGACTAACAACCTCCTTTGCTACTTAACTGACCAGATCAATATCCCAAATTTAGTTGACTGGATGCTATACTCTGATTAAAAGTGTTTCATTTGCGTCTCACTGCTGCAGAAGGAAGGGCAGCACGGTGGCACGGTGGTTAGCACTGTTGCCGCACAGCAAGAAGGTCCTGAGTTCAATTCCACCATCAGGCCGGGGTCTTTCTGTGTGGAGTTTGCATGTTCTCCCCGTGTTTGCGTGGGTTCTCTCCGGGTGCTCCGGCTTCCTCCCACCGTCCAAAGACATGCAGCTTGTGGGGATAGGTTAATTGATTAATCCAAATTGTCACTAGGTGTGAATGGTTGTCTGTCCCTGTGTGTTAGCCCTGCGACAGACTGGCGACCTGTCCAGGGTGTACCCCGCCTCTCGCCCTATGACAGCTGGGATAGGCTCCAGCGCCTCCCGCGACCCTGAAAAGGATAAGCGAATGGATGGATGGATGGATGCTGCAGAAGGCAATAATGTGCAAGAAGTTTCAAATTCCATATGAAAATAAAATGTTTTATTTGTTATTATTTCTTTTGATAATTTTGAAATAAAACCTAGAAAGCTGAAATCTAACCTTCATATTTTAAGAAGCCAAAGAGGTGGCTGCTGTTAAGAAATAGAGAGATATTTTTAATATCATTAGATTGTTTTATGTACTTTAATAATGAAGGCTTGTAGAGCAAGGCCACTTTTGACTCACAAACTAAGTGCTCAACCAGACTGAAAAACAGGAAGTTGTAGTGCACAGGCATATTAATAGATAAGACAGAGAAAAGAGGAACTTTGTAAAGTACCAAAATAAAACCTATATGAGGCACAGTTTATGATTCTAATGTTACAGATCCTGCAACTGGCGTTTGGGCTGTGCAGGGGTCTCTCTCTTCCGGAAGATGACTGAATAAAAAGAAATATAAATGTTTTAACACACTATGAGTCGGTTTTCTCTGTTCTATCACGGGGACAAAAGAATCAGGGTTAATACTGCTGAGGCTGCAGCTGATGATGAAGCAGACAGCTCTAGTAAAATTGAGCTCAGTGGCAGCAATTTAGAGCACCAGCAAACATCTGAATATGTTCTGAAGCTCTGAAGATATTCAGGGGAAATTTCAGTCAAAGTTGATCCACTTAGTTTCCACAAGAGAGCACGTAAGCACTGTGACAGGACGATGAATGCAGGAGTGGTTGCTGGTAAAGGCAAAGCTGGAATTAAAAAAAGAAAAAGATGAATTCATAGATAAAACAAATGCCACCAGATTACCTCGGCCACAATTTTATCCCCAAAGAGAGCTGTCATCCCAAAGCCAAGGTATCCAAAACATCACAAAATATATTTTGCAGAAGAAAATTTTAATGTAGTTACTTTGCAATTTGTTGACAGTCCAGAGAATTATTATTCATGGATTTTCAAAATGCAACAAATGCTTATACTTTCAGATCAAGAAGGAGAGATGGATTTGACGATAAAGTGATTCGGAATGGAGTCTGCAGAGCATGCAGGGCAGATTTGTACTGCAACTCTGTTCAGCATTACAGCTGCAGTCAAGGTCATCTGGCAAGAACTAAGAATGTTATGGCTCACCAGAAAAATTCATAGTATAAGCTATCTGTCTAGCTTTGAAGATGGAAACTCATTTTTTAACACACACATTTTAGTTCCACATCCCTGCTGCAGAGGGCGACAGCGTCCAACACGTTTTTAATTTTCAGCTTGAAATAAACTGTTGGAATTAATAAACCTATCATATGTCCTTCATTAGTTGAAGGACTATACTTAACAATGTAATACTTCATTACACTAACTCTGCCAAGCTTCAGCAGCTGAATAGATCTCCAAACACATGACCTGACATGGCAAGCTGCCTGTGAGCTGCACTACAGTCAGCGGCTGGACATGCAGAAGTAAAATGATAAAACAAATCATTAGCTTGATCTTATAATGATATTTACCAGCATTAAACAGTATAAACTTGATTATAGTGTTCCCTTACATAGTACACATTTGCAGCATTTTCAGCTGTCCTGGAATGAAACTGTTAGTTAAAATGCCAACAGTGAGTTGAAAATGAAGAAATACCTTAAGATCACTTCCTCTTTACAACATTTATTACAGTTATAGTCTCACTTTCAAAACTAAGTAGCTATCTGAGTTGAGGATTATGTTTTGTATATTGTACAGTTTCACCCATCCAGACTTTGAAATCACAACATTTAGGAGGTTAGAAGAGTGTATTTATTAAGTCCAGCTATCAGCTAAGTTTTAAAAAAAAAAATGCAGTTTACCAAAATTTTACATATGATGACTTTAAGATAACATGAACTCTTGCTTTTTATTCTGTGAACATCCATAAGTTCATCATTCATCACATATGAAACTCTTAAGAATGTGTGTCAGTGATCAAGCTGTGAAATGTTAGCTGATTATACAAAAGTTTGAATTTTGCCTTCCCATCACTTTGCATGACTTAGGTGTAGATTTAAAATGTAACTTTGGTTCTATGTGTTTTGTATGACTCATGTTGTGTTAATGGTCCAGATTCAAAGTGAATACAGACAAGTAACAATTTGAAAAAATTAAAATCATAGACACACGTTTTTAAAATATGCTTATAAGATAAGCTATACTATGGGCAAATGGTTATACATGAAAATATAGATTTTATTTTTTTTATTTTATTTATTTTTTTAATGTACATAAAGTGCAGTGAGAGTGATAATGTATACACATGTATATTTTCAAATGTATATTTAAATCGGAAACTTCCCCATCACTCTCTCAGTCGCTGCTACTGCTCTGGTCGTCACACTACTCTTTCTCTTGCTCTGAAGTAGGTGGGATGTTTGTTATTTGATTTCTCATCCAGAGAAATTTAAAGTCCACTGACGCTTAGTTGGCAGTATCATTCACAAGTTTAAAAATCCTAGTACATATCGTGAAACTGATAAATTAGGACAGATTATAAGAACATGATCAGTGCACTTGCTACAAAAACATATTAGCCAAAAGTTTGTTAAAGACTCTAGCCTAAAACATATGAGTGACCATATCAGTGCATTGATTTAACTCCTTTTGAAAATCTTTAGCACAATGTAAGAAAAACACCACCAGCAAGGAAACTACAGAATATTTGTGAGCAAAAAGCTTTTACGTGAGAAGCTGGCTAGAATTTTAAGATTCTGCGAGAGCTGCATACAGATGAAACATGGCCTCATATCTAATGTTGACTCCTTTTGAATGTTTATCCTGACCTTATCTGGTATATTTACGTTACAGTTTATCCTCACAACTTCACTTTTGTACATAAGGTAGGTTTAATAATTTAAACTGCAACAATAATGTTGTATAAAGTTTCTGTTAGCTTTAATCATTCCTCTTCTTCGTACTGTCCAGTCTTATGTCATTGGACATTCGCGTGCTTAAAACATGAATCTATCCTGTTTTTTGTTTAACATGTATCTTATTATCTACTCAGAAGGTCACTGAAACAACAATCAGAGGCTGCAGAGAGGCAAGACAACAGAGCACAGGTGAGTCATGCTGTGTCACCCATCGGCTCAAACCCATCACACAGGCTGATTACAACAACTGTATCCATGGACACTTTGTTCACCCATATTATTCACCTCCACTTAATTAACAATGCTACTCACTGGAGCTTTCAAGTGTCAACAAGACCCATGTGTCCATCAGACGGATGAGATTCATTACGCTGCTGTACAATTCGCTTCAACCCAGCCAGACTCTACTAACTCCAACTTTAACCGAAGTCAGCGTGAGAGATACCAGGATGAAAGTGTTGTATATTCCACCACTAATGTCAGCAGTACTAGAAGGTGAGCAGCTCTTTACACAGGAGAACTGTTCTTAAACTCTATACTGTACCTCAAGTTTAACCTTTTAATATTTGTTCTGCAGTAGTTGTGTCGCTTTATTACTTCACAGATCAAAACATCAAGCCTCTGTGGAGGAGGCCTCTGCACTGCAGAGTAAACAAACATCTCAGAGTGTGAACACAGCCTGGATCTGCTGTGTGTTTCTTCGGGAGTTCCCGACCTGCGATGAATGTAACTCATCACCATGAGCATAAAGCTCATTTTAGAAAATTTTCAGT